TCCAGGAGTTTCATTGCAAAATTAGAATGAAAGTATATTTACCATTTGTAAATAAGGAAGTATTAATATTACAATATTAGATATATATTTTTAAAAAGAACTTTAGCTCACATTTCAGTGAGCTGTTTGCTAAAAGTACATTTTCCTGGTTTGTCACATCCTGACTGGGTACATGTTGTTACACATGGAACCATGAGGGCAGAACTGCCATTTGTAATATTAATTGTAATCCATATATCTGGTTTTTTCCCACAAGAATCAGTCACTGGATTTCAGTTCAGAAAACCAAAACTTTTGGACAAAGCCATATTATCGTGTTGGCAGAGTTGTTCCCCCGACCCCAAATACACAGAGGAGGAAGAGAACCACTGAGGCCCCCTGTTTTCTTGGATTATCATTCTTCCAAAGTTGGTAACTTAGAAAAGTCTCAAGAAATAGCAAAGAAATCTCCCCCCACCTTATTCTGCTTTCCACATCCCAAGCTTAACATAAGCCTCAAACTATTTTTATGAAGGAAGGCTTATTGTGAAGAAGGTCTTTTGCATGCCTAAATCTCATCTTTAGTTTTTCTTATCACAAAGCTGGTTATCTTTGCCCATCTCTTTTCCTGGGATAATGTCTGACTCTGTCAAGGCTGTGCCTTATTCTGGAACCTTCCTGATGCCTGTGTTCCAGGTCCCTCCTGAGATTTGCTCCTCCGAATGCTTGATAGATGGATCAATTTAGGGGATTGATGGTCAGATTTAGCCTGACGTAACACCATGCAGTGGTCTGTTACCAGACATAGAGCTGGAAAACCCAGGCCCTTGCATACAAGTTCAGGAAGGTAAATTTGCAAATGAAAAACATTTTAAGACACATCTCACAGCTGCTTCCTCATCCCCCACCCCACTGTTTGTGTTTTTAGAGATGTTTAAGAGAAAAGGAGGCAATAACAAAGACGCTGTGCTGTGCTTTGGAATCCTCATTTATGTTGAAAAAGGGTCCATTTATCATCTCCTTCAATATTTCCATGAGGAGACTTTGCTCATCTCACCAGGGAATGGAGTGGTAGAGCAAACACTTCTCTGTCCACCTGATGATGGAGGAGAACCAACTAACTGAAAGGCAGAGAGCCTGAAACTATTATCGTCTCTCTGCCTGCCTGCTGCAAGATATTGCTGCATACCTGTGGTCCCTGCAGGAGGCTGCATGCGTAGGCTTGGGCCAGAACATATGTTATCTTCCAAGCAATAGATTTCCAGATAAAAGGCAAGAAGGGGCCTCAGGTTCAAGTTTCATTCTTCAGCGTGGTTCATAGGAGGCCCTGCATTCAGGTGGTTACTGGGCCCTCACTCAGCTGTTAATAAAACTGACTTTTGGCTCATAGAGCTTGGAGTATGCCTCCATTTGTATGAACCTCCAGGGAAAGCAGGGTGAGGGCTTGTGTTCCCTAGACTCCTGACAGTGAATGGCTCCTGGACAGCTTTGCTTGGTTGTTTCCCAGGTACTTCTAACTCAGTCTGCCTAAAGATGAGTTCGCCCTCACTTCTGTTTCTCCTGTGTTTCCCATCTTGGGGATTGACCTTAGTGTTCTTGTGGTAGCTCCAGCTGAAATTATGGATGTTGGAGCATGAGAGGCCCTTTGTGAGCTTACTTTTGGGTCTTTCTCACCATTCCCACACATTGCTCTTTTAGCCCAGGCCTCAGCTGAGACATCACCTGCTCCTGAGTCTTTGCCGACCCATGGGACTGGGTACTTCTGTAGTCCCCATACTTGCCCTCCACAGTCCACTGAAGCAAGTTGGCTTTATCACTTCCCTGTTGCTCCCACTAGATTTTAAGCTTCTCTTAAGCAGAATCTGTATCTTGTTCATCCTTGAGTGCCAGTGCTAGCACAGAGCCTGCCTGTAGTGACTGCTTAATAAATATGTCTTGAATGAGTAACACTCAGGCCTGAGAGTACCTGAGATTGTATAGCATAGTGGTTATAAGCTCAGCTTTGGAAATCAAGGCCTGTGTTCAGACTCTGCTATTTGTGTGATTTTGGGTGAGTTCCTTAACTTCTTGATCTTCAGTTTCTTCACCAATAAGATGGGGATAATAACTACTTCCTAGAGCTGTGATGATGAATTGCAATGATACATGCAAAGCCCTTTAATCAGTGTATGACACATAGTAAGTGTTGTGTGCATCATAGTACCTGTTGGTAACAACAACAACAACAACAACAACAACAACAACAATATAGTTATCTTTAATGGAAGGGAGAAAGCTATAAGAACTGGTTGGAACTAGAAATCAGGAATGTTGAGTGCTTGCATAGTGGATTTAGAGGAGATGGGGAATTGCTTGGGATAAAATGTAGGAACAGATGGGATTACCCTGGGAGAGAATGAACAGGGAGGGAAAAATGGGTGGAGGAACTAAAGACAGAACCTTAAGAAATCCTACATTTGAGGGATAAAAGGAGTCAAAACAGGAAAAAGAGAGAATGACTACAGTTAGGAGATTGCAGCTTCTCAGATGCGAGGGGCAGGAGTTTTAAAAAGATAGTCAAAGGCGCTATACTGGGCAGAAGATCAATGAGGAGAAGGTGAGAAGAGGCAGCCATAACGTGTTAAATGGGAGTATGTTAGCGCCCTTGGGAACTAGCCATTTCAGTGGAGTCAGAGGAAGAAGCCATGCTCTGAAGGAGGTTAGAGAAGGCCAGGTTAGGGATGAAGTCAGTTTGTTGTGCTACAATGTGTGTTTCTGTAATGAGTATTATCTGTGGGTCAATAGATGACTGGTGTCAGTATGATGTAGAAGTCACATTGGTTCATATGTAGGGTTTGTTCTCAGCACATGAATGTTTTGGCATCACTGGCTACTAGTGGCTGAAAGCAGACTAACATAGCTGAAGGCAGAAGACTGGGGGAAATGGGGGACATAGAGAGCTGCTCATGAGGCCCAGTCACCCTGTGTTCTTCCACTTGACTGATTCGCACCCACTCTTCTTGGGGACATTCCTTGCCAATCTTGGTGAGTTTAGTCACTGATTCCATCCCACTCAGCACCCTCGACCCTTGTGATAACTCCTTCGACCACAGTCCCCCTTCCTTTTTTAAGGTAAAGGGCCATAATTACTAGAGTGTTTTTTTTTTCCCCCAAACTGTGTCCAGCTTTATTAAAGATACTTTTTGTGAACAATCATGGTATTTCAGGCAGGACATGAGCGACAATCATTAACAGTATACAACTTTAAGACTCCCTCCTTCAATGGACTTCCAAAATCAGAAAGCCGTGGTAAAACCCAGTGAAGTCTTCATTTGGTGCCCCGAAGAGGGAAAGTTCAGAGTGAGGGTTGACATTTCACATTCAACGTGCTGTTTAACAACTTTTCATGAGCTGACCCTGACTTTCAGGAAATGAAATGAAAATGGCAGAATTTATCTGAAGATCCACAATCTAGAAACAGAGCACAGGTCTTTCAAGGGTTCTCTCTGGAAAGTCCAGATTGCCAGCCTGACTGGTAACCAGTTATTGGGGGCCAGACCCCAACAGGTATCTGGGTTTGAGGGAGTTAAGTGTATACTGAAGGCAGAGAGGGAGAGGGGGGACATAAAAAGGAATTTGTTTCTCCACACCACAAGGCCTTTGTGCCAAGGTGACTGTGTGTGTCAACGTCAGACGGTCCTTCTTTCTGGGAGCCAAGAAGCTGTCTTTCAAAACTAGAAGGGAAAGATGTTTTCTCCACATCAGTCCAGCTTCAGAGACATTTTTTTTTTCTTTCCTGAGATGAAGTCTTGCTCTTGTCACCCAGGCTGGAGTGCAGTGGCACCATCTCAGCTCACTGCAACCTCTGCCTCCTGGGTTCAAGTGATTCTCCTGTCTCAGACTCCTGAATAGCTGGGATTACAGGAACCCACCATCACGCCCGGCTAATTTTTGTACTTTTATTAGAGATGGGGTTTCGCCATGTTGACCAGGCTGGTCTGGAGCTCCTCAGGTGATCCACCCGCCTTGGCCTCCCAAAGTGCTGGGATTACAGGCGTGAGCCACCATGCCTGGCCTCAGAGACATTCTATTAGTGACGTATGCCCCTTCTCCATAAAACAACAATGATGTGTTCGGTGTGCTAACAACATGGCTTAAAAAAAAATTTCTGCATTTTTATAAAACTTAATAAAAAATAATACTTCAAACTGCACAGTCACCAGAAATACACAGTTATCAAAAATGCGCACACTTCCCTTGGTATCCCCAGCGCCTTCAGCTTTCTGTGCCTGCTCTGTTTTGGCCTCTGCATTTTCTGCAGAGTTATTCCCTTCCTTGCCAGCACGGGCTTTTCCCTTTTTCCCCTTTACCTTCTTTCCCTTCTTTGCAGGGGCCTCTTTAGGCTTGGGCTTTGGAGGAGCAGGTTTGGCAGACAACCTTGCAGATCTTCTCTGTGGTTTGTCCTCACTTTGGTTTTATCTCCGTTAGCGTCCCCTTCAGCCTTTGTCTTGGGCATGGTGGCGGCCACTGCAGTGGAATGTAGGTGCTGGATCTGGGGATGCAGCAGCACATGGGCTTTGGTTGGCCTAGGGGATAGTTCTTACTTCTTCTTCACACTGCTCATAGAGTATTTCTTTATTAGAAATTTAACATTTAAAAAAAATCAGAGTTTTTAATGATGATGATTGTTTTTGTTGGTGCTCAAGTTAAAATCTTTTTTTCAACCCTGTTTTTCTGATAAGCCTTGTTATTTTTAGAGTTTGTTGTTGCGAAGCATTAGGTTTTTAGCAATACATACGTTCAATTACAGAAGAAATTCCCATGATTCCTTTTCCTAAGGTTGAACAATCTGGGAAGGAGGGTTAGTTAATAGCAGCATCTATGGGAGGTTTTACCCAAGGATCAGCAGACGTAAGCATTCTTGGCTGCAACTTGGCCTAAATCAGTTTTCCCTTGGTGACTATCTTCCTAAGTGCTCTTTATTATATATTTAGGTGATTGTGTTTTTGCATTTTTGTCCTCTCTCTGATCTCTTTCTACAGTCTGAACAAGTGTCAGAGGCCGAGTTACTCCCACAGCTGAGCAGAGCCCCATCCCAGGCTGCAGAAAGTAGTCCAGCAAAGAAGGTAAGGTCAGCCTGAGGATGCTGTCAGATGGCATTGCGAGTCCCACCCATGGGCTTCTTATCTCTATTAGCTGATCTATTGTTTTAAGGTTTCTGTGTCCTGAAATGAATGTCAGTGATCCAGATTTCCTAGACTGTGGGTTCTTTGTGAAGATTGGGGTCCTGAAGATTCCTGGGCTTGACCCTTGATGTCATTTTGTACATGACAGTACATACTCAACCTCCTTAGCCCTGCAGCTAAACATGGTGGCCTTCTTTATGGCAAGATCAAAAAGGGCTGTGGAGGGGGACAGATGTCTTTAGCAAAACTCCATCCACCTGCTAAGCCTCTTTGAGTGCCTCTTGGAGTGGGGTAGTCTCTCCTTCTTGGTCTTTGTACCATGGTTTCCTCTTGCATTGTGGCATTTTCACCTGGCATCTGCCCAGCCATGCCATTGGGTCACCTGTCATTTGCTCAGTAAGTACCCCTCACTCATCATGCTCTCCATTCATCTCCTCACCGTCTTCTTGTCCTCCATGGCTCTTCTCCCTTCAGAGAGAGTGGGCCTTGGACTCAGGAGCACACATGAGGTAGAGTCCTCCAAGGAAGCAGGCCAACTGTGTCCTTCCATAATACACTGTGGCTCTTTTTCTTGACTTTATGTAGGAATTGGGGATAGGAGAATGATGAGCATATGATTAAGACCTTTAAAAACTTCCAAAGCTTAGGTTTTAAAAGGCTTCAGAGTGAGGCAGGAGCCTATCTTGTCTTCAGTTAGATAAGGCCCCATGGTGTGAGATGCACACAGGGTCTGTGTGAGTTTCAGGTGACAAGAAGTAATAGACTTCTTGAAACATTTAAAAATAAAAAGAAAAAAGGGAAGACCGCTGGACTCTGCTGCCTGTGTCCCCCCAGTTCTTGCTGAGCCATGGGTCAGTAAATAGAGTACCCTCCTGATCTTGGGGTTGGGGCTAAAGGAATGTGGGACACTGGCAGGAAGAGTGGAGGGAATATTTAAATGTTTAACTTTTAATTTGCATTTTGTTTTAAATCCACAGGATGTACCGTATTCTCAGCCACCATCAAAGCCCATTCGTAGGAAATTCAGACCAGAAAATCAAGCTACAGAAAACCAAGAGCCTTCAACCGCTGCAAGTGGGCCAGCTTCTGCAGCAACCATGAAACCACACCCAACAGTCCAAAAGTAAGTAGACCACATAAACAAGAGCAAGGTAGGAATCTCGCTCTGAGATGTACACAGATATGTAAATGTGTTGACATTTACATGCACACCAACAGAAGGATTTCATGGTTTTAAGGTTTTTTTTTTTTTTTTTCATGCTTGTAGGTTTTATCTTGCTCGTCTCTGTGATGGGATTCAAGCCTCCCAGTCACACAGAAGGCTTTACAAACTATAGGACTTAACCTGACCTAAAGGGGCGGACGAGTCCTAGGCTGTGGTGTTTGGTTTGGTTTGATTTCTTTCCCGTTCTCTCACCTTCTGTTGTTTCCTACCCCTCTTCCTTGTGAGGGCCCAGATTTTCCTGGCAAGATGACAGTATTGTAAATGGCAGTTTTGCCTCTCTGCCCATGTTATCTCCTTTTCCCTCAGGGCAAATGGCTAGCTCCTTCACCCACAGACACACTTTCAGTAGGTGTGGTATGTGATGGTTTCTGTTGTTGGTCACCTCAGCACAGAATGGATACATACAGAACTTCCATTATATTTATCCAACCAGCTGGAACAGGTGTTGGAGGGAGGGTGGAGACATCTGTGGACATGGCCAGGGACTGAGACAATGATGCTCTGGACAAACTATTCTTCTCTGTAAAACTTTGGCTTTGAGAAGAGCCATCACTTGCTTCAATTTCTTTGTAGTGAAATTGAGGTAGGTGTTGAGGACAGAAACCTGCTCCTGTCACTTGACTGCAAGTGAGCCTGACTGGTCACTAACATAATGCTCAAGACCCATCATGACCCTGCTTTTGGGGTCTTGCAGGTCTCAGATGCTGCTGCAGATTTTCTTCTGCTTACCACGTTGTTGTAAACCAGTTCGCAGGTTTCTGGGGAGATTTAGCAGACTTGGTCTTTGAAGCCAAAAGTACCCAGTTCTGAATCTTCTGCAGCCCTCTCCTTCGGTGGATTTTTTCTTTTTCAATGACAGCCCGTGTGGTTATAAGTCATTAGACGGGAAGTATAATTTGTTTCATCCACATTCACCGAGAGCTTGACCAATCTTCCAGCCCCTGTTAAGCCTGGAAGGTCAATCCACCTATCAGGAACATGAATGGCCAATTTTCTTCATGTTCTCTTTTTTTTTTTCTTTTTGAGGGATTGAGTCTCGCTCTGTCGCCCAGGCGCTCGAGTGCAGTGGCGGGACCTCAGCTCATCATGCAAGCCCCGGCCTTCCAGGTTCACGCCCATTCTCCCTGCCTCAGCTCCCGACCCAGCTGACTACACGCCGCCACCCTCGCCCAGCGCTAGTTTTCTGGTATTATTAAAATAGTAAGAGACGGTTTCCGACCGCGCTTTAGCCCAGGATGGTCTCGATTTCCTGACCCTGACCGCCGTCTCGCCTCCCAAAGTGCTGAAATTACAGGCTTGAGCCACCGCGCCCGGCTCAATTTTCTTCCATGTTCTACCCCAGCACTCCACTTCAATTTCAGCTTCATGTTAATTTTAGTCATCAGTGGCTTAACATTCTCCAGAGTAGTTGTCAGGGCATCTGGTGGAGTTCATACAGAGATCTTTTCTTTTTCTCTTTTTTATAACAGCTTTATTGCAATATAATTCACATAGCATACAGTTCATGTTTTTAAATGTACAATTCAGTGGTTGTTAGTTTATTCACAAAGTCATGCAACCATCACCACAATCTAACTTTTGTCATGCCTAAAATAATATCAATGCCCATTAGCAATCACTCCCCATTCTCTCCTTCCCCCTCAGCCCCTGGCAACTACGAATCTCCTTTCTGTCTCCATGGCTTTGCATATTCTTGTCATTTCACATAAATGGAATAATGAAAGGTGGTCTTTTGTGACTGGCTTCTTTCACTTAGCATAATGTTTTCAAGGTTCATCTAAGTTGTAGCATAAATCTGGACTTATTTTTTTATGGCTGAATAATATTCCATTGTATTGATAGACCACATTTTATTCATCCATTTATCAGTTGATGGACATTTTGGTTATTTCTGCTTTTTGGCTCTTAAGAGTAATGCCACTATACTATTTGTGTACATGTTTTTGTGTGGACTTACGTTTTCATTTCTCTTGGGTCCGTACCTGGAAGTGGAATTGCTAGGTCATGTGGTAACTCTATCTTTAATATTTCGAAGAACTACCACACTTTTTCATAGTGGCTGCACCATTTTATGTTCCTGTTGGCAATGTATGCGGGTTCCAATTTCTCCATTTTGTCAACACTTACCTTTTTTTTTTTTTTTTTAAATTACAGCCATCCTAGTGAGTGTGAAGTGTTATCTCATGGTTTTGATTTGCATTTCTTTCGTGGCTAATGACATTGATCATCTTTTCATGTGCCTATTGGCCATTTGTTTATCTTCTTTGTGAATAGACATAGAAATGTCTATTCACACCCTTTGCCCACTTTTACTTGGATTATTAATCTTTTTATTTTTGAGTTATGAGTTCTTTATATATTGTGGATACAACTCCCTTGTCAGATATATGAGAAAATTGAGCCATCTTTGTAAATATTTTCTCTCATTCTGTGGGTTGTCTTTTCAATTTCTATTTATTTTTATTTTTTAGAGACAAAGTCTCACTCTGTCACCCAGGCTGGGGTGCAGTAACATGATCATGGCTCATTGAAGCCTCGAATTCCTGGGCTCAGGTGATCCTTTCCCCCTCAGCCTCCTGAGTAGCTGGAACTACAGGCGTGAGCCACCATATCCAGCCAATTTCATTTTATTTTTTGTAGTGATGGAGTCTTACTATGTTGCCCAGTCTGGTCTCAAACTCCTGGCTTCAAGGGACCATCCTGCTTCGACCTCTCAAAGTGCTGGGATTACAGGCCTGAGCCACTGCACTCAGCCAATTGTCAATATCAGTCAGATCTGTAAAGTGGTCACAGTCCATTCTAGTTCAGTTGCCCTTGTCTAGAACCCATCTCCCAGTGATGGCACATACGGCTGTTTTTCTAGGAGAACATCAGTTGCTCTTTTGCTCTGAGAATTCGGTGTTTCTTGCTGTGGGATGAAAGGTTGTAGATTATCCCTGTGGTAACCACACTGATTTATCATCCCAACCATGGATGGTTTTGAAAAGTAAAGAGAGTGTTAATGTACTTATGCTGGACAGACAGTTCAAATGGAGATTGTAATGGGCACAGTAGGATGCATGGTCACTCTGGTTATGCCTGTTCTGTGAATTTGGTGTTAATTGGGAGATACTGGTATTAAAACGTTCTGTATTTTTCTCAAGTGCCACAGATATATGCTGGTCTATGCACATACACGAGTGCACATTTATGCGCGCGCACACACACACACACACACACACACACACACACACACACATATATAGTTAGGCATTCATGCCTAATAATAAATAAGGTAGAGGTAGGTAGTCTGGCTAAGTTAATGTAGAATTTTTGGGAAAAAGAATGTTCTTCTATTATTTTCCTTCAGACTTGTCCACAGGGGACACCTGCAGGTCTTTTAAGTGCTATTAATTCTTACACAAAAAGGGCATTCCAGTTAATATGGTTTGTCAGGAAGAAATACTTATTAAAATGTCTTGGAATAAATGGAACACAAATGTTTGAAAAGGCCCACTTCACAGCTTTTATTCAAGTTATAAAATGGGAATTACTTCAGGTGTAAATAATTCATCCCAACAAATTTGTTTCATTTGGTGTCTATCTGCCTGACTGCCTGTGAATATGAGATTTTATTTTTGGAGCCCTGTGTTGTTAACCACTTGTTAGTTTAACACCTCTCATGAACCAGAGTTCTGACCCTCAAGGGTTCAGACCTCTAAGTCCTTTTTCACTGAAGTGTTTGTGCTTTTCTGTAGGCAGTCTTCCAAACAGAAGAAGGCCATTCAAACTGCTATCCGCAAAAATAAAGAGGCAAACGCAGTGCTGGCTCGGCTGAACAGTGAGCTCCAGCAGCAGCTCAAGGTAAGGAATGAGTCCCAGATTTGGATGACCAGGCTTTTCCTTGGCTTTTAAAAAGTTTTTTTTAATTTAATAGACATATAATAATTGTACATATTTATAGGGTGGGGTGCATAGTGATATCTCCATACCTATCATGTACAGTGATCTGATGTGACCATTGGCTGACCATTTAGTTCCATCCCTGTTGATAAGACTTGCCTCTTTGTTCTCAAACCCTTTTTGGAAGGTGGAGAATTACTATATTTAAGTTTCATGGGTTGGTTCTTGCATAGCCAGAGGAAGACTAGTGACTTTAGTATGTAGGCTTCATATTGTGTGTGAGTTAAAAGGAAAGACAATCTATTACAAAGGCTGTTTGAAGCATTCTCTGTTATCCAAAGCTTCTGGGTAAGCCCTTAATTATTTATGTCCTCTCTGAAAGAGAGGACGTAAATTCTTATTTCAGTAGAAGGAAGTGGCCCTGGTACTATCAAAGGCCGGCTCCTCCTCTGTTACCTTGCAAATGGTTCTATTTCACCTTCTCAAGGACATCACCCCTGTTTCTCTTCATCATTACTCTCCCCTGTATTAGTTTCTCAGGGCTGCTATAACAAAATACTACAAATATGGTGGCTTAAGATAACTAAAAATGATTTTCTCACAGCTCTGGAGGCTAGAACTCTGAAATCAAGATATTGGCAGAGCCACGCTCTCTTCAAAGGCTCTAGAAGATAATCCTTCCTTACCTCTTCCCAGCTTCTGGTGTTGCTGGCAGTCCTGGGCGTTCCTTGGCTTGTAGCTGCATCACTCCAATCTCTGCCTCTGTTGTCACATGGCCTTCTTCCTGTATCTCTCTGTGTCTGTGTCCAAATTTCTCTTCTTATTGTATCTTCTTCTAAGGACACCAATCATTGGATTAGGACCCACCCTAATCTAGCATGACCTCATCTTAATTTGATTACATCTGCAAAGAACCTATTTGCATATAAGGTCACATTTACAGGTACTGGGGTTAGGACTTGAACATATATTTTGAGGGGACATGGTTCTACCCACTATATCCCCCAGTTCTCTACTGGATCATTCGCCATCCACACGTAAATGTGCTCCAGTATTGTCCATTACACTTGGCCAATTACTGCCCCATTTCTTTGGTTCCCTTTACAGCAAAGTTTGTTAGGAGTGGTTTTTATTCATTGTCTTTACTTTCGAACCAGTGATTTTTCTCCTCCTTCCATTTCAGTTGGCTTTGTCCTCCTCCACTCACACCCGTCTTGGGGCTAAATCCAATGGGGCTGTTTTAATATTATTAATTTTTTCAGAAGAATTCTACACAATTGATCATTTCCTCCTCTGAAATTGCTTTTATAACTGGTTTTTGATATACCATACTCTCCTGGTTTTCCTTATGCTTCACTGGTGCTTCCCGTTTTCATTTTCTGCTGGTCTTCCTTCCCTGACCTCACTTTTATACCCCAACCCCATTTGCCCCAATACTTTAGTATGAAACTTTTCAAACACACAGGAAAGTTGAAAGAATAATAAGTGACTGCTTGTATAGACATCACTTCAGTTCTACAATAACATTTTGCTATAGTTGTTTTAATCACATATCTACCCATTTATCCTTGTGTCCATCAGTTCATCTTATTTTTGACATATTTTCAAGTAAATTGCAAATATCTGTATACTTTCCCTAAATATTTTAGCATGCGTATAATTAGCTGGAGTTCAATATATTTTTACAGTTTTTTCTTATGATGTAAAATGTTTACACAAAGTGCATGCACAAATATTATTATTATTGTTATTGTTGTTATTATTTTTGAGATGGAGTCTCACTCTGTCACCCAGGCTGGAGTGCAGTGGCGTGATCTCAGCTCACTGCAAGCTCCGTCTCCCGGGTTCACACCATTCTCCTGCCTCAGCCTCCCGAGTAGCTGGGACTACAGGCGCCTGCCACCACGCCCGGCCAATTTTTTGTATTTTTAGTAGAGACGGAGTTTCACCATGTTAGCCAGGATGGTCTCGATCTCCTGACCTCGTGATCTGCCTGCCTTGGCCTCCCAAAGTGCTGGGATCACAGGTGTGAGCCACCACGCTCAGTGCACACAAAAATCCTAAGTGTGCATTTGCTGAGTTTGTAACAAGTACATGTACTTTCTGAATCCAAACACCTATAAAGATAGAGAGTATTAGCATCACCCCAGGAAGCTCCCTCATGCTCTTTCCTAGTCAATTCCTGCCCTACCCACACAGAGGCAATCAGTATTCTAATTTTTATACCATAGTTTTGCCTGCTCTATAACTTTATATAAGCGATGTCTTACAACTTATACTTTCATATAAAGCTTCTTTCACTTAGTATTATGTTTTTGAGATTCATTTATATTGTTGTGTGTATCAGTAATTCATCCATTTTTATTGATGAGTAGTATTCCATTGGTTGAATATGTTACAGTTTGGTTATCAGTTCTATTGACAGACACCTGAGCTGTTTCCAGTTTTTGGCAATTTGGAATAAAACTGCATTTTTGAATAAGTCTCTGTATGGACATATGTTCTCATTTCTCTTGGACAAATACCTAGGATTGGGATGTTAGTTTCTGAGAAACTGCTAGATTGTTTTCCAAAGTGGTTGTAGCAATTTGTACTCCTACCACTAATGTATGAGAGTTCCAGTTGTTCCACATCTTTGCCAACATTTGGTGTTATGATTATTAATTTTAGACAGCCCTGTAGTGATATAGTTTTTATCATCTCCTTGCTGACTAATTATGTTGACCGCTTTTCTTTGTGATTATTTACCTGTCATATCTTACTTTATGAAATATCTTTTCAAATGGTATTTTTCTCCAAAGTAGTCTATAGATTTATTATAAAACCAGTAAAAATCCCAGCAGGATTTTTTGTGATTAGACAAGCTAATCCCAAAACTTATATGTAAGGGCCAAGGAGCTGGAATTGCTTAAACAAATTTGAAAAGGAAGAACAAAGTTGGAGGAATAACTTTACTATCAAGCTCCAGTAATCAATATGCTGATGCGTAGATCAATGGAATAGGATACAGAGTCCTGAAATAGACCACATGAAAACAGCCATTTGATCTTTGACAAAGGTGCAAAATCAATTCAGTGAGAAAGAACAGTTTTCAACGAATTGTTTTATAACAATTTCTCATTTGCATTTAAAAAAAGAGCCTTGATCTAAGCTTCACATCTATACAGAGATTAACTTGAAATGAGTCATAGATGTAAATGTAAAACATAAAGCTATAGAATTTTCAGAAGAAAACAGAAAAATCTTCATGATCTGAGTTTAGAAATAACACCAAAAGCACGATCTATAACAGAGAAAAACTAAAAAAATTGGACTTCATCAAAATTAAAACCTTTTATTTTGCCAAGCATAGTTAAGAAAATTAAGAGACAAGCTGCTGAGTGGGAGAAAGTATTTGCAAACCACATATTTGATAAAAGACTTATGTCTCAATTATATAAAGAGCTCTTAAAATTCAATAATAAGAACTCTCCAAAACATCTCAATTTAAAAATGGGCAAAGGATTTGAACAGACACTTCACTAAATAATATATAAAGATGGCAAATAAGTACACGAGAAGATATTCAACATCATTAGCCATTCGGGAAATGCAAATTTAAACCACAATTACATACCACTATACACATACTAGAATTGCTGAAACAAAAAAATGTGGCATCACCAAGTACTGGCAATTAGAACTCTCATTTATTGGTGGTGGGAATCCAGAATGGTACCACCACTCTGAAAAATCACAGTTTCCTATGAAGTTATACATACACTAACCGTGTGACCCAGCAGTCTCTCTACTTTAGTGAAATGAAAATTTATGTTCACTCAAAAATCTATATATGAATGTACATAGCAGTTTTATTCATGATAGCCCAAACCTGGAAACAACACAAATGTTCTTCAAAAGATGAATGAATAAATTGGGATACATTCATACAATGGAATAGTACTCAACAGAGAAAAGAAATGATACACAACTTGGATGAAACTTAGACATTTATGCAGAGTGGGACAAGCCAGTATCAAGAGGTTGTGTACTGTATGATTCCTTTTATTTGACATTCTTGAAAAGGTAAAACTATAGTGATGTGAAACAAACCAGTGGCTATCAGGGGTTATGCATGAGATGAGAGTTTGTATGAGTAGTCCCAGGGAACTTTTGGGGTTGGTAGAACTGTAATGTATCTTCTTTGTGGTGGTGGTTACACAAATCTGTACACTAAAAGAAAAAAATTGTTTTACCCTATGATAATTTAAAAAAAAATGTTTTTTAAATGTCAGAGTTCATTCTGTTTTATAAAACTTTGTATGTGAACTTGTTTTGTTTTATCGTTTTGGTTTTTCTCCTCTCTCCCTCTGCTTTGTGGTAGGCCAGTTTCATCCATTGTTCTCTATATTTGGTGGGCCCTTTTAATTTGGAAACCGATATTCTCCAGTTCTGGAGGGTTTTTTATTTTTATTTTTGTTATCGTTGATTATTTCCTCCCCCCTGTCTTCACCCCCATTTTTTCTCATTCTCCCTTACTGATACTCAGACATTGGACTTCTTAGCTTAGTTCTCTAATTTTCTCATATTTTCTCTTCTGTTTTCTTTTTCTCTTTCTTCCTACCTTTTCTTCTTTATTTTTGTCTATTTCCGGAAACTTAATTATATATTCTAAATCTTCTGTTGTTTAATAGCCAATGATTTTTTGTTTTCTGTTTATTTTTTATGATATCCTATTCTTGTTTCATTGTCGTGATCTTTTTTTTTTTTTTTAATTATACTTTAAGTTCTGGGATACATGTGCAGAACTCGTTGTGATCTTTTTTTATGGTCATTTTTCTTTCTTCTTCCTGAATAGTTTGTTTGTGTGTGTTGTGTTGTGTTGTATGTACTTTATCTTAGATGCTTTCCTTCGATATCTGATGACCCTTCTTTGCTCATATTTAAAAGGAAGACGAAAACACTGATTGGAAGTTCATTGCACATTGTGAGGCTTGTCAACTTTGAGCTTCACTGTCTGGCAGTTTGGCTCGGCTCTATAGTTGGGGAACCCCTAAAGGGAGTATGATTAGCTCTTTCCTCTTGGTCTGGTTGAAGTCTCCAGAGTGGAGACTGTTTTGGTCACCTGCATGTAGGGAAAGAGTTGGTTTAGTGGAGCAAGAGGGCTGTAGGTCTCAGCATTCCAGGATATTCATTCACTCTCCCTATTTCTGACCCAGTATCTTGTCCTCAACTGTGCTTGTTTCTTGCTAATTCAGATGCTCTCTGTTGTACCTTTTCAAGAAATAAACCTTCAGCATTCTGCCCTGGTGGCAGGAATGATCTGGGGATTTAATTGCTTCTGAAACAGATTTTCAGCCAGCGCTTGTTTTCGCCAGCCCCCATCTCCCCTTATGTACTCCCACTTTCATAGGTATCTGGTGTTGCCAATTTGAGTCTTTCAGGAATTCTCCTATGTAAAATCAAATTGGTTCTTATTTTTCTTCATGTTAGCTTGGGACTCAGCTTTCTTTACTTGATCTGTATGAGTGGAAAAGTTCTAAGTCTAGTGAACAGAAGTCTGAAGAATCATTGAAACAGAACTATAGTCATAGCCTCTCAATTAATTCCCAGGCTAAGCCAGTTTATAGATCCAGAGCCTCTTGAATGATGAAGGGGCATCTATGTCTCCTTATGGAAGGACCCCCCTGTGCAGCCAAAAATTTATACTGTAAATCTTTCTCCTAACCTTTCCCAAAGGGACCCTGCTGCCATTTACCAGGGTGACTGTGCATTAGAGGAAGGGAAATAATTAGACTTTTGGGGAATTACTAGACACTGGCTGTGAACTGACACTAATTCCAGGAGATGCAAAGTGTCACTGTGGCCCATCAGAGTTGGGGCTTAGGGAGATCAGGTGATCAATGGAGTTTTAGCTTACGTTCATCTCACAGTGGACCCAGTGGACTCCCAAACTCACCCTGTGGTTATTTCCCTAGCTCTGGAATGCATGCTTGGAATAGACATACTCAGAAGCTGGCAGAATGCACACATTTGTTTTCCTGGATTTCCTAAGTCATTTATCATTCACCAGTTTGCCACTCAGCTTTCGAATTTTATTGCTATCATCTTGTCTCTTTTGTTTTCCCTGTCTTGTGGGTCCGTGACTTTGAAAAGTTGCTGTATTGTTTTAGTGGTGCTCCAGGAGGGAGAGAGTGTGGTACCCCTGGTCAGTCTTCCATCTTTACCTGAAACCTCTATCTATACTGTTTTGCTGGATTATGTTGTATGGTCTCATGGCTTTGAAGACCTAATTTATGTCTCAAGCCCTACTTCCCTTTTCCTCTGTGCTCTAGACTTGCATATATAACTTCTTACTCAATGTTTTCTCCTTAGATATCCAATACACATCTCAGATAATTAATTGTCAACCCTATCCTTGAAATACTCATTTCTTATCTAATCTTCTCATTCTCAATATCACTACCAGCCAGCTACTTTATTCATACAAAATTCCCAGGAGTCATCCTCAGATTTTCCTTCTCTCCTCCATCAACTTCATCAGCAAGTCCTACCAGTTCTAGATTCAAGATTTATCTAGAATTCATCCACTTCTCCTCATCTTTATGGCTTCTACCCTGATGGAAGCCATTTTCGTTTCTCACCTGAGTCCCTGCAGTAACCTCTCAGTTGCTCCCCTGCTTCCACTCTCACCCTGCTATAATCCACTGTCTACACAGTAGCCAGAGTGAAAATTTTGAATTTTAAGTTGGGTCGTGTTCCTGCCCTGATTAGAAACCCTCAATACCACCCCGCCTACACTTCCATACTCTTTCCTCTGCCCACAAGGCCCTGTATGATCTGACTCCTTGGTTAAATCTCTGACTTCATTTCCTGCCAATGTCTTCCTCGTTCCCTCTACTCTGGTCACACAGGCTTTTTGTTCATCAAATTCACCAAACTCACTCGTTCCTCAGGGCCTTTGCAGTTGCCATTTTGTCTCTAAATATTCTTCCCCCCATATCTTCATATGGCTCACTCCTCATTTCATTCAAGTCTTTGCTCAAGTAGTGCTAACTCTGAGAAGGCTTCCCAGGCCACTCTCTCTCCTTTCTCCCAGATCCCCCTCTGTTACTCTCTATTATGTTATCTTATTTCCTTCTGGGAGTATCTTGTTCATTAACTTTATTATCTTTCTCAAGTCATTTGAATGTAAGCCCTATTGCTCTGATCTGGCATATTCTTTGCTGATACCATCACAGCTAGAGCATTACCTCACCTGTAGGAAATAGAAACCAAAAGACTTCTGACTGGGTGGCTAGGAGAGCATGTGAATAAATACTTGTGAAGTTGTATACTGACTATTAGTATGCTGATTCTTCTGAATCTCACAATTCAGCCTTTATACAGAATTCTTTCCCACCTTGGCGATTCTACTTGAATACTTTTGTGTGTCCCCTCTCTTCCTGCCAAAATACCCCTTTTAGGCCCGAAAGTTTGAATTCCAAAATAGCAGATTGCTCAGCCTCTTTTCTGCCTTTCACCCAGATGTCGTACCTTACACCATACGTTGTGCAGAAACCTGGATGAGACTTTGGTGGAGGGGCCACTAGCATACCTTTTTGGCTCTCAGACCTGACTGAGTATGGTGCTGAATTACAAGCCAGAGATTGCAACTAGAAATTTAAGTCCTGTTGGCTCACTGCTCAGTATTAGGAGTCTGTTTTTGCTTTCTGCTCTCTCCTAGTCTTTTGATTTTTAATGACACTCTCTACCAGCTACTGATCTTGTTAAAACAAGCTAAAACTAGGGCAGGGTGGTAGAGGGGAGTAGGTCAGTTTCATTTCATCGTCTTCAGAAAGGAGTTGAGAGATTACAAATTGTGAAGCCCCTTTTTTCTGGTCACCAGCATTAAATCTGGTACCTCCCAGTCTTCCTGTTCTTGAGTTATACAGCACTTGTATTTGTGGGTCCAGTTATAAGTTTCCTTTTAATATCTGATGAAGTAGGAATGAATTCAATAAATGACCCCTTTGCTTTTTTGTTTTTCTTCTGTTTTGTATAACTCAGGAGGTTCATCAAGAACGAATTGCATTGGAAAACCAATTGGAACAACTTCGTCCAGTCACTGTGTTGTGACCCCCCCATGGTTCAAGTGACAGTGGGTGACCTTGTCTGCCAAGATCTTTCTTTTGAATGTTTTGAACCCAACTACTTTTCATAGATGTTTGACCGTGTCAAAAGCTGTGAGCAGCAAAATATAATCCATATGACCTTTTCTCTTGCACTTCACTTGTATGTTTTACTGTGGTGGAAAAAATACTTCAACTGATTATCACACTTGAAATGGTAATTATCAGTGGAATTTGTCTCCTATTCTTAAGTACTTCTGCAAGGTATTAGATGCTGCTCCTTACCAAAAATCAGTCTTCTAGCAAATAAAAATAACTTAGAGCATTATTTATTTAAAGAATTTATGTTTTCTATAAAACCTTATAACCAAGTACCTTCAGGATGCTTGTAATCTAGTACTTTCAGGATGCTTTTTGTATGTATATCACATACAGTAGGTTGGTTTCCTGAGTAATTGGGAATTCCAACTAGATAGTCATTGGTGTGACCATAATAAAACAAAAATAAAAGCATCAGATTTAGACTGGCGCTGTGCCCTCTACCACTATATGCCAAAAAAATTGCTTCTCTAGTGCCATTTTGATATTCTATCTAGCTATAAATAATACATGACTATTGTTTTCTATTGAATGTCAAAGACTTACTGGGTCTTTACACCTCTGTAAAGTGGAGGTTTTGGCAATGAGCTATTTAACTTGGCCAAGCTAGGCTGTCAACCCAGACAACTCAGTCCTTTCATGTGAATTTTTGGGCAAGAGAAGTCTGCTTTGACTGTCTTGCCTGACCAAATTAAATAAATAGTTACCAGATCTCTACTTTTATCCTGCATGGGATAATATATCTGTAAATGCATGAGTTTGGAAACCACCCATCAAATATGAAAGGCTGATGAGACTGTTAGGATTGATAAACATTTGTTGTTTGAACCCAGGTATCCAAACTGGGGAAGAAGGGGAAATGGTTGTTACCAACAATCTCTAGTAGTTATTTTATTCTTTATTTTAACCTGGATTGCAAATGTATTGGGTATGAAGAGATAATGAAAGAAAGTGGTCCTCATGCTGGATGTATGACTGTTTTGTTCTCTGTAAAGTGTATTCTTGGGAAGTGATTGGTTTATATCAGATTCAGAGGAGCCCAGTTAACTCCAGTGTAGGTGACATAAAACAGTAAGCTCAAATTGCAGAAGCAAGTATCCTACAGAAATTTAAGTAGCTGCTGCTTCTCCTGAAAGCCCAGGTTGAAAATGGGACTACAGGGGCACAGGGCTACTGACCCTCACAGGGCATGCCAGCATTAACACCACTTTGAGAGACTAATGGCAAGAAATGCTGTCTCCTGTGCATTTTACTAATTTCCCCATTCTTAGGGTAGCGGGGCGGGGGAGGGGGGGGTCTTTTTGAAGCAGTTTTGGATAGGTGTGCAATATGTGGGATTCAGCCTTTGATTTCAATAGAGCTGAGAGCTTTTAGAACAAGTAGGCATTTATTTAATGTTTCCTTAGTCCATTGGCAAGCTTTATCAATAGCTTAATGGCAGAGGATAAAGGCTCAAACAGATGATGTTTTTCTACAGAAAAACAAATTGTTGAATCTATTCCATGCATATTTAAGGATTTTGAATGGATTTTGAAAATCAGGAAACTTGAACTATTTCTCTATTCCCTTTTTTTCTTCCCCATTTGCTGCCTTTTTTGTTTTTGTGGGGGAAGGATGGGGAGTAAGTTTAAACTCTTCCGAAGATTATGAATGGATCAGCGTAAATTTTTAGGCAACTGCTTTTTCCATGTTCTGAGATCTAGGGGCTACAACAGATTTTATCAACAGTGTTCTTTTTTTTTTTTTTTGAGATGGAGACTTGCTCTGTCGCCCAGGCTGGAGCAGAGTGGTGCAATCTCGGCTCACTGCAACCTCCGCCTCCCGGGTTCAAGCAATTCTTGTGCCTCAGCCTCCTGAGTAGCTGGGATTACAGGTGCCCACCACCACGCCTGGCTAATTTTTGTATTTTTAGTAGAGACGGGGTTTTGCCATGTTGGCCAGGCTGTTCTCGAACTCCTGACCTCAAGTGATCTGCCAGTCTTGGCCTCTCAAAGTGCTGGGATTACAGGTGTGAGCCACCCGCCCGGCTATCAGCACTGTTCTTATTGCAGACATTTCACAGCATGTTTGGCTTTTGGTAAATTCAATCCAGGAAAGACTAGCATGTGCACTTTATCTCATAAGCTTCCAGTACATATGCTCTCAGTTGGGATAGCACTTCATTTCTATTAGGCAGACGTATAAACTAAGGAATGTTAGTCTGCAGTATTCATTTTAAAAATATTGACATGCTTTTGCCCTTCCCTCCATGAAATCAGTGCCAGAGTGAGCCAAATTAGGAGGTTTGTTGGGGTTTTGTCTAGTTGGCTTGGTTTTCATTAAGGGAAAAAACTTGCATTGGACAATCAAATTCCTCCGAGTTTCATAATGTCATCATTATTTTAAGATAGGCAAGCACACACTAATAATATGTATGCCTACCTTCTTGAGTGGACTTAATTGTAACCACAGTTTATTAGTTGCTTAGAAGTGGATTTTTAAAAAAAAAACAGTTAAATGTGCATAACACACAAGTAATGACACACTACTTTTATTGTTACCTAAGTAGTGCTCATCCTCTGTGTGTTTTCTTAGGATGTGTACTTTAATTTAGGATTATAACACCTGATAAATATTTCTGTGAGCCTTTAATGTGATTTATAGGATGGCTGAGTCACTGAAATCACCATTATACCTCTTCTATAAAGCGACTCCAAAATTAGACCTGCCTATTGGGGAGAATTCTATAGACAGAAGGTCAATGTTGCCCCCATCTATAGGGGTTGAATTACCTTGCTGTTAAGTGGTCTTCCCCCGTTGGGATCCTACAGTCCCACAGATGAAAGCACAGTAGTAGCTGACAGCTGGTTTATTGGGTCCCTCGGCATCTCTCGTATGTGGCATATTGCTTTCGCCACTTTCCTATGAAGCAGACATCAAAGCAAAACTAAAAGGTAGATATCTGGAATGAATGTTTATGTTGTAATTGGGCAGATATTTACCTTAATTGGAAGGATCTAACTGCTTTGCAAATATTAAATAAGTGCTTGGGCATGATTGGGAGAGGAGGCAGCTTAGCTGGAAGCTGTGCCCATCTTACTGTCACTGGAGAATAGGATGTCAGAGCTGGGCAGGACTGGTACCCATCACTTGCAGTTTGCATGTGGGGAAACCAAAGTCCTAAGAAACAACAGTACCTGGCTCAAAAAATCCATAGAAAGAGGTAACTAGTGGCAGATTTGGGATGCCAACCTGATTTTATGGATTTTGAGTTAGATTCTCTACCCTCTACCAATACTAAAAATAGATTAGGAGGGTTTTTTTTTTCTGTTTATCATGTTGAATTTCATTGACTTGGTTAGTCTTTAAATTTGAAAACATGTTTTAGGGAGTTTAGTTCTAGAAATTTCTCTTGGATTGAAGTGACAAAATCTGAAAGAAAAGAATATGATTGAGCTATTTGTTTTCCTGAACACCTCACCTTTTATGATGCAATAAGTTACTCTGAGTTTCTTGGCAGAGTTTTTGACAGCTGTTGCTTTCAATGGATTCCATTCCTGTATTCCTTATGGGAGTTTGTTTTTAAAATAGACTACTGTGATTGAAATGAACTCAATATATAGTTAAGTTACAGCTTTCTTCAGTGTATTTTTAGTTACTTGGGTCACAAATGTTCAATTTCAGCATATTTTAGGGTGAGTAATCAAAAATGTGAATTTGCCTTTGATTTCTTACCACTGTCTGAGCTATCATAAAGCATTCTCTTTAGTTGTGATTTGATTCTATAGTCTGTTTCTAAATGACATTTGTCTGTTTCTTAAATGATCTCACAGCCATGGTAATAATAGATGTGTACTCAGAAGATCAATAAGGTAATATTGGAATTCACGTGTTTTTTGCAGTTAAGGCAGCCATTTGCCAATGTCTTCTTTTAAGCAGTAGTTGGAAAGATCTCAGTTACAGTATAACACCTTAGAGCTAAAAACATTTGTTCAACACAAACTAGAATCACACATTCTCACTAGATATCACCAAGGGAATGTGGTTTTAAAAAGAAAAAGAAAAGAATATAACATATCATAGCAACCAGATCTTCCCATATTATTGACAAGTAGGGATCATTAGGTTCTGGTTTGAACATTCTGAATGTGAACAAAATGTAGTAGTTAAGAGGTGTTTTCCCCCTCTATTTAAAGAGAACACTAGTAATTTTGGTTTTTCTTTCTAACTGCTTTACTGTTTCAAGTGTATTCTTTTAAAACTCTGATTTCAAAGGATCAGTTGAATTTATATTTTAGTTATGGGTGTTTTGTTACTTTTTTTTTGTATCATGACTCAGTATGGCTCAGTTTCCTAGTAAGAAGTGGGGATTTGTGTTTTTGGAGTCCTCAGCTCACATATCTCGCTCCTCCTTCAGCACAAGCTAAGGGAGATCCCACCCACATGGATAGATCAGTCATTGATGGCAATTTGAATGTGGGTATTACTCTGTGGTACCCTGCTTCGCTTGTTTGTAAGGAGAAATGCATCTGGTTATGCGAATTTCCCAAGAGCAGTGGAGGGCCAGACTTTAAAAGCAATGCAAGCAGATTCAAAGAGCTGTTGCCCTCCCCTAAAAGAGGCTTTTGGAGGCTGCGTTACATGCATACCCTAAAGCAGTCAGTCTGTTAGTATGAGCAAGACATCCGAAGTACACAGTTGCTTTTAGGCTTGTATAGTTATTTTTTATACATGCTAACACACATGATGATAAAGGAACCTTTTCTAGGAGGCATTGCAGGGTTTCAATACACAGGACATGTTCTAGTTATAGAAGCCTTGCTCTGCTGTCAACAATTGGGGAATGCTTATTTTTTCATGTTTTGTGAATACTCTGGTCTTGCTGTAAGCTAATGTCATGGCTGTGGGAGATTAGAGAAGTGGGTTTATGACTCTGAAGACCAGAAGACACCAGACTTTAAAAGGGCTTAAATTGGAATTTGGGAACTACAGTAAAGGAATCTTCAGGTACCAATTCCATCCTGAAGCCCTCTGTTGAACAACAGGGCTAGGTCCTAAAGCTCTTTCAGGGAACTCTTCCCTGGGGCTGGAACAGTTGATGCAGCAACCCCATTGTGTGGAGATTGGATCAACTGAGTTGTGTTATTTTTGTTTTAAGTCACCTTGTGCGAGAACCTCAACTGCACCTATCTTGGGAACCGGGTATACCCTTTTCTTTGGCACTGCCATCCTTTTTGTCTTTAGCACAAATAAGATGTTCAAGTGAGCCAGAAGCAAGAAGAGCCATTTTAGTCTTCATATCTGTTGGCTAAGAGAGATAATGAGCTGATGGTCTATTTTAACCTTGAAAGTAAAAATGTATATTTTTTCACTACAGGTACATTGAACAGTAAAAAGTGTAACAGCAAAGTATATATTTGATGCCTTCTGTCTTTTCATGATAATGTGCTAACAAGTCGTGTTAATATTTTACTCAGCCAGAGTCTCATTCATTTGCTAAGCATTTGGGAACATTATGTATATTGACCTTAAACATAGGTGTCCTATATTTGGATTGTGACTTGTAGACTCAAGCTAACCTTACTGCCTCTTTTTCACACTTGTTGAAAAGTCTGTGAAGAACATAAAGATCTCCAACTTTGGAAAATATACATGATGTGAAACTGGGGTGCTGTGTTAAAAATAAATGTATGATAACTAAGTGTGGGTTTTATGAAGTCTTGGTGTCAGTATATTGTGGTTTGCATTTGGTCTCATGCATTTAATGAAAGTAATGGGAAAAGGAGTTGGGAATCTTTCCAGTTAAGTCAAAGTCTGAGATTTGGTTATTTTTACCTCCTGGTGATCTGAGACAGGTTCTTAAATACCTGCACACAGTAAACACTTGGCAGTCATGGGATATCATGGCTGACTCACAGTGCATTTTAAAGATCTGCTAAATTGAAAACTTGGCTTAATGTGTGGCCAGGTTATTTGCTTTATCTTTTGTTCAAAATCAGTGTTCTTTTGTTCAAAAATATTCCCATCATGATGTCCTTAGCTGGAGTTGAGGTGATCGGGAAGGATCAGGAATAGTTGGCTTGAAATCTCAACCAAGTAATCTGGCACCCTAGTTATAGTTTCTTATTTTTAAAATTTGAATAATTTGGGGAGGCACCTCTCCTATTGGGTGAGGGGTTTTATTCCATATTGTGAATGCAGATGGTGGGCTACACATAGGATATTTCCAATCTACTAGTCCCAAAGGACAAACTAACTCTGGAAGAATCATCTGTCATTTGGCCCATAAGCTAGGATGCTGGAGGTCACCAGGACCATTCCTAAGCATTGATGTGGATGACTGGGTCATTTACTTTAGAGATAAAAGGGATCTGAGATAATCTATGCAAGCAGTTCTCAAAGTGTGGTCCCCAGGCCAGCAATATCAGCATCATCAGGGACTTATTAGAAATGCAAATTCTTGCCACTCCTCCCCTGCACTAACTGAATCAGGAACTCTGGTAGTGGAACCCAGCAATCTGTGTGTTAATAAGCCCTCTAGGCGATGCTGATGTACACTAAAGCTTGAACTACTGACTAGCCAATCTGATTTTACAGTCAAAGAAACTCTGGTGCAGAAAGGCAAAACTGACTCATCCAGAGTCTCAGCTGATTCAGAGCAAAGGCTAATTGTGTTTCCAGGGCATAGTTTTTGCTGTGCTACATTTTCTATCCATGAGTTTGTTCCTTCCCATGACCCTCCTTCCATCGATATTTATTTTGTGTGTTCCTCCTGTTTAACTGAGCACTACATTAGGGGCTGGAGATGAGACTAACAAGACACACCTCCTTCCCCCAAGGAGCCCACAGTCCAGTGGGACAGAGACCTACAAATGAATTGCAGTGCAGAGTGGGATAGGTGCTATGTTGTATAAGGGTAGGACAACTGCTGTAACAAAGAACCCTGGGAGTTCAATGAATCTCATTTACCTCACCATCCAGGGTGGATGCTTACAGTTGTCCTGTTTTCCTTGTGGTTGTTCAGGGACCCAGACTCCTTACATGTGTGGTGCCATTGTTCCCTAGGGCTGGGGAGTTTCCTCCCATTAGCCAATAGTTTGAGAAAAGAGAGATGGTGGAGAACATACAATTACCTTTCACAGAAGTAACACACATCACTTTTCTTCATTTCCTGGAATTCAGTCATCTGACAAAAGTTAACCACAAGGGAGACCAGGAAATTTAGTCTAGCTGCGAGCTCCAGAGGAAAAAGTTTTGGTGAACACAGTATGTACCAGAAGACACAAGACCAGGTTGCTCTGAGAACACATAGGAGGGATATTTAACTCAGATTATGAGGATTCAGGAAGGCTTCATGGAATAGTCTCAAAAGAGGGATAGGCATTTACTAGGAAGAAGAGGATATTCCAGGCAGAGAGAGCTGCATGTGCTCAGGTGGGATAGGATAAGAACATGATATATTCTGGAACTGCAAAGAAATTCTCCTGTGGATGGAATAGATGGTGTCATAATTTGTTTTCTATTGCTTATAACAGAATACCCAAAACTGGATAATTATAAAGAAATGCAATTTATTTCTTACAATTATAGAGGTTAAGAAGTCCAAGGTTGAGGGGTCATATCTGGTGAGGGCATTCTTGCTGGTGGGACTCTCTGTAGAGTCTCAAGGTGGTGGGTGATATCACATGGTGAGGGGGCTGAGTATGCTAGCTCAGGTCTCTCAGCTGCTGCTGCTTATAAAGCCACAGTCCCAATCCCATGATAACCCATTAATTCATGAATGGATTAATTCATTCATGAGGGCAGCCATCATGACCTAATTAACTCTCAAAGGCCCCACCTCTCAACACTGCCACTTTGGGGATTAAGTTTCACTGTGAGTTTTGCTGGGGACAAACATTCAAATTATAGCAGATGGATATGGAATATGGAGCAGAGAAGGACGCAAAGGTAGGGCACAAGGCCAAATGGGAAGGCCTTGCATGAGAAGGCATAAACCACCCTGAGATTACAGCTCTTTTCAAGATTTAAGAAGTGCATGAAGTTGCCTACTTCATGAGTATTCAAGGAATGATGTGTGTTCTCCCAAAATTTTCCTACTCCCTAGAAAGAAAATGCTTTACTGGAAGACTGTAAACTAATGTTTTAACATGGACCAAACCTGCTAGTTTAATTTGTTATATATCTTCTGGCATGTGTTTGGGCAAAAGACCAAAGCCCAGAACACAAGTGACTAAACCCTGGTAAGCAGGAGTCCTAGTGAATGATGTGAGACTTTTTCCATCTTCAGCTCTTTTTGGGGGAGATGTCAGGGGCCCTGAGATGACTGAGAGGTGCAGGACTCCCTTTTTATCAAGCAGTCTATCAAAGGGCAGAAATAGAGTGTGGAAATGAAGCTGAAATATACAATTCCTTTTGAACAAGAGTGCTCTATGAGTTTATTTAACACTTTTGAAAAATTACCAAGCCTGCAGGAGAAAATGCTTCAAATAAAGCATCTCCATGACAAACTGTAACTTCAAAGAACCCTGCCGTATTGTTTTTCAAATGTGAAGTGTTCTGGAAGTGTGAACAAAAGTATTTCCAGGCTCTGAGTGTTGTTTACCTCATTGCATTTTTCTTTCAAACAGAGGGAAAAGGATCTTTATCTTTGGGTATTAAATTATAACCCAGATATATTTTCCTTTATTTGCCCTGAAATCCTCTTAGCAGATTTGGCAGAAAGAAGGAATTGACACAGAAACTGTAAAAATTTCAAGATTCACCTGTGAAAATCCTCTAGCATCATCAGCAGAAGACATTATATATGTGTGTGTGTGTATATACACCCATATACACATATATGTGTGTGTGTATATATATATACATACACGTGTGTCTATGGGTGTATATACCCATATACATGTATGTATGTGTGTGTGTATATATACACACACACCCATATGCATATATATATGTGTGTGTGTGTGTATTTTAAACTCAACAATAGCCACAGTAATTGTTTAGAATGTAGACCACAAAATATTTTTTAGGAGGATGAGTATTTTATCATTGACATTGTTTAGACTTAATGGGTTCATGATGATGATAAAAGCCAAGTAACTTTTAGTCAATTTTATTGTTTTAACATTTTCTACAGAGAATACACCCCTTATTCTTGTACCTGGGGTGGACCATTTCTATTCTGGGCATAGCACTACAGAAAAAAGTGAGTGCCTCCATCCCTGTGTTAGAGTTAATAAAATCTACAAGGCTGAAGGAAAGCCAGGGGGAAGAAAGATAATACATAGGGAACAGAATAAAGGAAACCAAAGCAAATTAAACACAGATACAGAGAATTGTGATGCAGGTCCTTTGAAATTCAAATGAAATTGGCTTGAACTTCAACCCATGTGTGCTGGGAGCCTGCATCCCAATCTTTCTGTAAGTTCTGAGAGGCAGAGGTAATGGTGGAGGGACTGATGTTTTTATCCTAGTCACTTCTGGCTCTGGTATGCTTCCTAGGAATTAGTTTGATAGATTGGCCGTCTATTTTCCCCCAAAATATCATTTGCATGAGGCATTTGTGTGTATGTGTATGGAGGATGGGGTGGAATGGATATGGGGCAGAATTTGTAGAATATTTAGAGAGATGAGAGCTTTTAAATAGTTTATATCCAGAACCATCACATTGCACAGCTCCAGGGGACATTGTTCATGTTGTATTTTTAAATTTATTATTATTTTTTAAATTTCTGACCATGGCAAGGACATCACCTTGTATTTTATATGAGAGGACACCCCCTGGAGTTTGTGATGCAGCTGTGCTCTTTACGGCTCCATGCTGCGTAGGCCACTCTCTCTCAAAGTGTTCCTCCTTTTGCTTTTTATAGTTCTATTGTTCTGCTTCTGCTGGCTGAAGGAAGGTGGGGAGATGGGAACTTTAGAGGTCCTGTAACCATTTCTAACCCAGTTATTCTACCCCCACATCAGATCTCTTCTACCCTTACTGCTTCCATGATGGGTTTAGGCCAGTTGTTCTCAACTGAGTGCAATTCTGCCTCTGCAGTGTCTGGCAATGTCTGCAACTTGGCAATGCCTAGAGATAGTTTTGGTTGTCACAACTGGGGGATGCTATTGGCATCTAGTGGGTGGAGGCCAAGGATGTTGCCAAACTTCCTACAATGCACAGGACAATCCCCCACAACAAAGAATGATCTGGCCCTAAATGTCAATAGTGCTAAGACTGAGAAACTGTTACAGAAGAGCCCCTCAGCCTTCTCTCCATTTCTCTCAATTACCCAGAGCAATTTAGCTTTCTTACTGTTATCAGGAATAACCCTTCACATGGTCAAAGCTATATCAACAGGCTCTGCTAAATTAGTCCATTAATTCAAATATCAGCAGGGTTCAGGCAGCAATATAAATTGAGTGAAGTGAGTCAGGAGTAACATGAGAAGTGAGCACTGGCCCATCTGCTTCAGTGGTAGGAAACAATGGAATGATGGGGATTGTGGCAAATTGGAGACTGCATACCCTGTGTATAAAGGCAGCCCTAAATTATTGCCATGCAGGCACCTGTGTTGATAAATGTCAGATTCCTTGACAGAGACTCAGTATCTCGTCTCCCTCATCCCACAGTAACCCCCTTTTGTGTTATTTATTTTTTTAGTTGGGTTGTTACATACACACATGCACCAAATTTAAGTGTGCAGCACAATGAATCATCA